AGAGAAAAATATAAGAAAATGAACCTTATAGAAAAAAATAAACAGTACTGGTTTGATTATTATGCTTTTTAATAAAAAAATCTACGTAAAGTTTGATTTAACACTGAAAAGTTATAGTCAAAAAGTTACATTATAAATTAGTTTGTACATAAAATAAGTTGGACAAATCTTAATTAAATGTAGTTATATTATATTGTTATGCGATGTTTATAATAATGTATAAGTTACATAATATTGTTATGTGATTTAATATATATAAGTTAAATAGATTGAATACGAAAGTATATTTTATAATTAACAATGGTTTCTTTATATATATAAAACTAGAACAAAGAAGATATAATAAAAAAATATGAAATGCCCGTACGGTACCTTATCAAGAAGAAAGTGGTAACTTAGGATAAATTTTATATTAATTAGTATATCTCATGCATATATAATGGATGTTTAATCCAAATTGTGAATAACTAAGGTTAAAAGATAATTACTTATCTTAAGGAAGTTGATGTGTAGGACGTGAAATTATGATACTATTTGTTGTCAGTGGATAGTCGTGTGGCGGTAGCCAATAACTATAAAGGGTGTGTTTTGAATAAATCTGATTATAAATGATACAAACATTTTACATATAGTGAGATAAATGAGATTATAAGAGTTGAGCTAAAATGCGAAATAATATAGTATGAGAAAATATAATAAGAAAGGTGAAATATGACAAGTTGTTAAGTGGTTTTGTATGAATACAATAATAAATTACGATATAATGATTAATCGATTGAATTTTAAATTAGGTCGTTTTAATTATGACATTAAATAGTATTAAACTACCCAGTTGATACGCAAAATCATATATAAAATGGATATTAAAATACATCATTATGAATTTACATTGATTATATAAGTCAAAATTGAAATTAAAAAATTAAATTAACTAATTTTTTAACACAGAAACATGTGACATCTTTAACTTATATTTAGATATCAATGCAGGTTAAGGATGTTATAAGGTCGATGTTGGCCGATGTTGGCCAATGACGTGTAACGAAGAGAGGGTTGTGACGCGAGCTGATCGTGCATCAATTGGAAACATCAACGACTTAACTCTGACGTGGACGATGATGTGACGAGGATGAGAAGTGACTAGAGACGTTTGTGGAAGAGAAAAAGGATGAAGATGGAAAAAGAAGATGGGTGAGGCACGCTTGAATAAAAAAAAGGTAAGGTTTGTGTTATTAAAAAAGGGGAATTCCCAGAGTTAGTCCTTAAACTCCCTAGGGTTTATGAAGGGCTCAAAACCCTATTTTCTTTACAAAAGGTAACTGAAATTTTGAGGTGTTACAAATATCGTTGGTAGGGGTGTTCAAATTTTTGAAATAATTAGGTTAACCGACCGAACCGAATTAGTTCAATTAATTCAGACGACCACCGAATTAGTTCGGTCGGTTAACGGTTAAGAACATTTTTAGAATTCGATTAACGGTTAATTCGGTTTAAAATCGGTTAATTAACCGAATTAACCCTTAAATATTTATTAATATTTTTTTCATCCCATAATATGTTGTCCCCCACTTTCTTTAATTGCTCTTCGGTTATCAATTTTTTTACCTTGATTTGTGTAAGGTATGGGGCTATGGGCACAAGATGGGTGGAGGCGTGGAGCATGACTCTGCATGAGCAATACACTACCCTCCACTCTCTCTTTTTCCAATTCTCTATTCAGGTTTCCTTCAAACTAGTACTACTTAATATATTCTTTTATATAATATATACATGCAGGCAAGTATTTATTATATAATTCATCAAGTGTTTATATAAAATTACATATCTTTATGAGTGGATGAAGTACTTGTTTATATATATATATATATATATATATATATATATATATATATACTTCATTACTATTTAAAATTTTAAATGTAGGTTAAAAAATGATAAAACCCATCATACCATGTTTAATAATACAAATTAATGGAATATGTATATTTTTTAATCATTTAATTTTGGTAATGAAACAATTCTGTCCCGGTGCTTTTGATTGCTTTTATATATCTATCTAAAGTTAATATATACAATAATATATACAATTCTGTCCTGGTGCTTTTGTTTGCTTCTATATCTATCTTCATTTTGAAACTCTTTATTTTTACTCTCTCTTGGGAGAAATAGTCTTTTTGTTCATACTTTGCTTGAATTATAGAGTCAAATCTTGGGAACTCTATGTGTTTTGGTTTAAGTTTTTTATCAATTGCAAAACCCAGGTTTATGCCATCTCCGATCACAATTTTCTTGCCTTCTTCATCCACTTCATGTTCAAGAGGCCTGTGCAGTAAGTCCTACATAAAGGAGCTAGCTATCTTCCTGATTGTAGCATCATAAAAATCAAGCATTTCACCTAGCAATAGTAGCTATCTTCATGCACCATTTATTTTGTAGAATTTCAAATTTGTTGGTTTGTTTGAACTAAATTGATAGATACAAATATCTTATTTTAATAAAATGTTTGAATCAAATTAATTAGATATTATAAACTATTTTTTTAATTAAAAAAATATTAAATTCTAAAATTCTAAAAAAATTTGGTTAATTCGAAAATTAACCGAAATTTATTCGGTTCGGTTAATACTTTCATAAAAAAGTTCGGTTCGGTTAACGGTTAAAGAAAAAAAATTCGGTTAATTCGATTTAGGGTATTTCGGTTAGGTTCGGTTCGGTTTTAACCGAATAAACACCCCTAATCGTTGGTAGACATGCGACAAATATTCTAAATTTTTTATAACTTTTAAATTAAGAGAATTTATTTTTATTTATACTAATGTATATGTTTATAGTTTAATTATATTTTGAATTATGAGTCAGAGATCCAACGTTGTCTACTGACATTCTTTTTTTAATAAGCGGAGACGTGGTGTGTTGTAAAGTTATTGCTTCATTTCATCATTGTTAAGATCCATCAAATAGAGTGTTGTGACAGTTTGAACTCCACAAAATTAATGTGCATAGGAAGCATAATGAGGATTGGCTGAGGAAGCATGTTGCATACATACAACAATGGAATGATAGGAATTTATATATACCTATTCATTCTGAACTTGCACCAGATGATATGGATTTCACAAGATCTCCCTGCCTCCAAAATTATGAAGCAAATAGAAAATCATATTTAACAACATTCGAAGACATGGTCAAATGAGAATAAATGAAGACAAAATATGTAAAAGCCAAGAAATCATCATCATCAAAATCTTCTTCTTCTGGTTTTGCAGATTATTTTTTATCTTAAGCAAGCTATTGTAAATATTCTCCATATCATGCTTTAATGGAGAGTCGACCAAAGTGGGGAGGAGGTTCATGGGATGTAGTGCTACCCTATCAACCACCTTCGATAGAAGTTGCAGGTCCATGTGATCATTTTCGATATACTCAATCACCTAGTGATTTTGGTGTGCATTTTGATTCAATAACGTCAATGATGGAGTCAAATACTTTAAATAATGCATCATTATCACACAAAGGTGAAAATTAAAGTGGTGGACTGATGTACACTACACCAGTTCAACAAGAAGCAAACACAAAAGAACTTGATGAAGACGGCCGACCACAAAGAATTCGATAAGCCCCACATCATTATCATTTAACCACTCATCGACGACTTCAAGAATTAAGAAAATATAAGTAAATTTATTCTATTAGTAGTTGTATTTAGTAAAATAAATTTTAATTATTAGTTTGTAATAAAGTATTTCCAAAATAAAATAAAATTTTCAAATTTTAATATTTATTTTTAATTATTACTTAAAGGCTTTTTTCAATGATATGAATATGAAAATATTTATTTGTACAAAAAAGAATTCCGTTCTTGAGTAAATGATATGAACATGAATTTTAAATGATATGAACATGATTTTTTAAAATGATATGAACATAAAAATATAATAAATGAAATTATTTTTATTTAGAAAAAGCCTACGAGTTCCAATGAAATTTTAAAAAATCCCACATGTTGCCCTACATTCAATTAACGGTTATAATTTTTAAATTGAAATGGAACTCGTCACGCCCACATGACGAGTTTCATGATTTAAAAAATTAAATTTATAATTATTATATATTATTTTAAGTACAAAAATAGTATACTCGTTATATGAACATGACGGGTTCCAAGAAATATTTTAAACAATAAGGTCTTATAGGGTCCATAGATTTGGGTACATTAAAAAATAATATTCTGACAAACTTACCATGTGAGTGTGACGAATTTATCATACACTCTAACAAATATCGTAGATTGCTAATTAATGTTGGGATTTACATATTAGGTCAAATAATTAATCTGCTTGCATTATGATTCAATTTTGCAGATAATGCAATTAGAAACATTAATTTATTTTATTAACGCCAAATTTACTATCAAAATATAAAAAAATTATATATTAATATAATAATGATATTAATAGTTAAAAACAAAATATAATAAGACAAAAAAGGGGATAAGTTCGGGAAAAAATGGATAAACTACAGATTTAATACCTAAACTATCAAATTTGATATATTTAGTACCTAAACTTTTATTTTTTTTAAATCATACCCACATTTAGTTTTTATTTTATTTTAGTACTCTTCGTTTAAAACTTAACGAATGGGTTGATGTGGCATAATTCAGTGGATGTATGACCAATCCGAACGGTAGACCACGAGAGAATGACGAGTCGAACAACATAGTCCAATTTCATGTTCATCGGATGATAGACCATGGAGATTGAAGGATGAAAAAATTGAAGAGTCAATCATCGATTTGAGAAGATTGAAGCATCTATCGGTGAAACAGATGACATAATCGCGTTCAAGGGGTCAAAAAGATACGGTCTAAAAAGTTTAGGTTTCATCAACATTCTCCACCAATAACAATTCATATTTCCAGTATAATTGAGTGTATAAATTATAGCATATGGCAACCGTCTTTTTTAACTCTCTCCGCTGAGTTATCTCGCGCGGAAGCCATGACTAGCTCGTCTGCTCATTTACGCAAGGTTTTTTTTTTTTAGTTCTTTTTTGTTTATTATTTTCCCTAGCTGAGGTTGCGTCTTTTGAATTTGTATTGATTTATTGTCTTTTTTCCAATTTGTTTGATTTTTTTATCTTTTTCTGTTTGGATTATGTTTTTACGTAGGCTTTAAGCAAGATCGCTAGTAATAGGCTCCAGAAAGAGTTAGTGGAGTGTAGGGGTGTTCAAATTTTTGAACTAATTCGGTTAACCGATCGAATCGAATTAGTTCGGTTAATTCGGTTGGACACCGAATTAGTTCGGTCGATTAACGGTTAAGAACATTTTTAGAATTCGGTTAACGGTTAATTCGGTTTGAAATCGGTTAATTAACCGAATTAACCCTTAAATATTTATTAATATTTTTTTCATCCCATAATATGTTGTCCCCACTTTCTTTAATTGCTCATCGGTTATCAATTTTTTTACCTCGATTTGTGTAAGGTATGGGGCTATGGGCACAAGATGGGTGGAGGCGTGGAGCATGACTCTGCATGAGCAATACACTACCCTCCACTCTCCTTTTCCAATTCTCTATTCAGGGTTTCCTTCAAACTGCTACTACTTAATATATTCTTTTATATAATATATACATGCGGGCAAGTATTTATTATATAATTCATCAAGTGTTTATATAAAATTACATTTCTTTATGAGTGGATGAAGTATTTGTTTATATATATATATACTTCATTACTATTTAAAATTTTAAATGTAGGTTAAAAAATGATAAAACCCATCATACCATGTTTAATAATACAAATTAATGAAATATGTATATTTTTTAATCATTTAATTTTGGTAATGAAACAATTTTGTCACGGTGCTTTTGTTTGCTTCTATATATCTATCTAAAGTTAATATATACAATTCTGTCCCGGTGCTTTTGTTTGCTTCTATATCTATCTTCATTTTGAAACTCTTTATTTTTACTCTCTTGGGAGAAATAGCCTTTTTGTTCATACTTTACTTGAATTACAGAGTCAAATCTTGGGAACTTTTATGTGTTTTGGTTTGAGTTTTTTATCAATTGCAAAACCCAGGTTTATGACATCTCCGATGACAATTTTCTTGCCTTCTTCATCCACTTCATGTTCAAGAGGCCTGTGCAGTAAGTCCTACATAAAGAGCTAGCTATCTTCTTGATTATAGAATCAGAAAAATCAAACATTTCACCTAGCAATAGTAGCTATCTTCATGCACCATTTATTTTGTAGAATTTCAAATTTGCTGGTTTGTTTGAACTAAATTGATAGATACAAATATCTTATTTTAATATAATGTTTGAATCAAATTAATTAGATATTATAAACTATTTTTTTAATTAAAAAATATTAAATTCTAAAATTCTAAAAAATTTCGGTTAATTCGAAAATTAACCGAAATTTATTCGGTTCGGTTAATACTTTCATAAAAAAGTTTAGTTCGGTTAACAATTTAAAAAAATTCGGTTAATTCGATTTAGGGTATTTCAGTTCGGTTCGGTTTTAACCGAATGAACACCCCTAGTGGAGTGGCAAGTTAATCCACCCGCTGGATTCAAGCATAAAGTTACTGATAATCTCCAAAGGTTTTTCTTGAGTTTACTCTTTTAATTGATTTTTGTGGATTATTCTGGTAATCGAGGGATTAATTTGTGATTTTTGTCTTTAATTTGTTGGATTTCTGTTTTCTTGATGCAAAGATGGATAATCGAAGTCAACGGAGCTCCTGGAACGCTCTTTGCTAATGAAACTTATCAGCTTCAGGTTGATTTTCCTGAGCATTATCCTTTGGAGGCGCCCCAGGTACATCTTTTTCTTTTCGTTTGCTTATCGTTTTGTTACTGAGTATATTCAAAGTGAAGTTTTATGAATGAAGATTGTAGTAATCGTATGTTGATTGAACAGGTGATTTTTGTTCCTCCGGCCCCTCTGCATCCTCATATTTATAGCAATGGACATGTTTGTTTAGGTATTTGATGTCATTATTTTTTCCTTTATCATTGCTGGACTCGTGATTTATTAAGGATAATTTGTTCTACTTGGTGCTAGCTACAAATATTTTGAACAACTAGTTTTTTAATCTTGTTGCTTGAAGCATGTTTGATGTTTACGGATGATAGAGTGTGGTTTATGATTTTTTCCTGAACAAGTTCTAATTTACTTGTAACCATAATTGTAGTGTTTCTTTTTTGGCATATCAGTTCACCGTCACCTTCTCACCTTTATGGAGAAATTGATGTCATTAGTCATGCAGTATTTGTAAAGTACAATCCTGACTGTCATGATAGATTTTAAGAAATGGCATACTGCCTAAATGTGAGGTCATCAAATGTGCCAATGATATAGCAAATGTTTGGCTCTTTCATTGTATTTAAGAGTAACTATATGATTGATACAGCATCTTACATCTGTGTTAATAGTAGCTCTTGAGCCAATTATTTATACCTGGAACTATTCACTTATGCTGATATGTTTCCATTTTACATCTTTTTTTTTTTTTCCATTCTAGCTGTGAGTCTGTGAGTACATTAAGCTTTGCTGAAAACTGTCAAGTATATTATACTGTCTCAATGTGATTTGTGATAAATTTCTCCATGTTTATTTTCCTGAAGTGACTAGATAGAGATATTATGAAATGTTTTTGCTACTGTTCTATGCTTGGGGACACCCTGTTGTAGTCTGAGAGAAGTTGGTTGGTCACCAAATAGAAATATTTATTAGTAAAAAATATATATATTGGCTCTAAAAGATGTTTGTATTTAATGCAACTAATTTGTGAGTTAAATGTTTGTTTTGAGCAGTTAACTCATCATAGCGATAAGTGAGTCCCTAGAATGTTGAATGCATCACACAAGTACGTAAAATATGGTTCATACTAAAAGATTGTCTTCTGTATCTGTGGGCTCTACTTAATCCTCGTAGTTTTGATGATTAGGTAAGTTTCACTAAGACATTTGACAATGGCTTTTTGGTTCCAGTTCTTCCTTTAGAAGGCTTAATTGTAACCTTTCTCGCTTTAAGAAATCTCATGCATCAATCATTTGGCAAGTTTTCTTGGTATTTTTTGGTTTGTGTGCGAGTTTCATTTGAGTATGGTTTCTGTTTCCTTCATGATTATTTGATTGGTGGTTTGCAACGCCATGGATAACATGAACCATAACAGTTTTTGGAAAATGTTTGATGGAGAAAATGTCATTCAGCAATTTTTCTGGTGTGCATTTTAGACCAAAATTAGGCACAGCAAGTCAGCAATTTCTGTATAAGGTAGAACAACAGCAACAGGAAGGATTGCTTGATCATTAATGTCCATGTTGTACCTTTTGTTGTCATACACGTCAGTTATCTAGTTGACCAACAGTGAGAAACGCGTGTTCTAATTATGCAGATATTCTGTATGATAGCTGGTCCCCGGCCATGACTGTGAATTCCATCTGCATCAGCATTCTCTCCATGTTATCAAGCTCAACTGCGAAGGTTTGTTTGAGTTATTAGGAACTTGATCGTTTCCTTATGTTCCCCAAGATCTGGAATACTGAATTCACTTTGTAATTATGCAGCAAAGGCCGGCTGACAATGACCGATACGTTAAGAATTGTCGCAATGGCAGCTCTCCCAAGGAGACGAGATGGTGGTTCCATGATGATAAAGTATGCTGATAATAAACCCTATTATCTAGTGTCTGTGTATAAAAACTGAGGGATGGTAAGCTTTTTCTACATTTGTCTTGCTGTGTATGAAATTATGAACGTGGTTTCCTAATTCAAGCAGCAAGCTGAACAAATATAAAGCCTTCTCTTTTATTTTTATCCTTTTTTTAATCGAAATGAGGCAAAGGTGCCTCAGCTAATTACAAACTCTAAGGTAAGGCGGAGCCGTTTATTTTTATCCTTCAATAAACGCACTTCCTTAATTGTTTTCTCATTTAACGACTAATTTACTGGTTTTAGTAATGGAAAGTTTAATTTAGAATCAACATCAAAATTTGTCCAGTACAACTATCATTTAATTTTAAAATTCGACGTGTCCAAAGAGCGAAGTATAAAGTTTGGACCCCTTTGCCAAATATTATGGTACGAGGTGGTTGTTCTGACCCCTTTGCAAAATACTATGGTACGAGGTGGTTGTTCAAACTTATGGCGGGTGTTAGTTTGGTTTGGAAGGATGTCATGGAAGGAATTGTTTAGAATCTCGGTGGTGGGAAAGAAATTGATTTTTGGAATAACTCGTGGTTGGCTGATTTAGGTCTGCTCCGGTTTTACGTACTGTTGGAATACCTATTTCCCCGGGTGAGTGGCGATGGGATCGGCTCAGGTCTGTTCTTTCTGCAAGAGCACTTGCCCTTGCTGCCGCGAAACCTCCTGCTGATAATGGGGGTGTTGACTCCCCAGTTTGGCGTTGGGAGTTTCATTGTAGGTTCTCGGTTTGGAGTGCGTATTTCTATAATGAGGATTGTAGGGCACAACCCGCTTTGAATGTTTAGTTTTTGGAAGCTGTTAACAAAGTATAAAGGGCTACCCCGAGACCGTAATTTGCTTTGGATCATTATCCGGACTCGTTTGTTGACAAATGTGGAAAGGGTGTGCCGACATATTTCTAACGATGAGGGCTGTCAAGTGTGTGGAGCTGGCCAGGAGACTGCTGCACGTATTTTTCGGGATTGTTTTCCTGCTCGTGCTGTCTGGAGCGAACTAATTCACCCAGATCGGGCTGTTGAGTTTTGGAATTTACTAATAGTTGAGTGGATGTATATTAATCTCCATCAACCGGGTTACTTCTCCAGGCAGGAAGAGGCGTGAAATCTCCTCTTTGGTTTAATTGTATGGTGTCTCTGTATTTGAAGGAATAAATGCGTTTTTGATCCGGGTTTTGTGAAAGTTGAAAGCGTTCTCCAGCAAAGTCGACATTTTCAACGAGAAGCGTTGCATGCAATGCAAGAACATACTAGTTTGGTTCCCTGTGGGGCGGTGATTGATCGACGCAAGGTAAAGTGGTCTCCACCTTTGCTAAGTTGGTGTAAACTGAGCACGGATGGTGCTTAGAAACCTACATCGGAATTATCGGTTTGTGGTGGTGTAATTCGGGATGAGCATGGGGCATGGATACCATGCAAAGACTATTGGAGCCTACTCTATTATCGACGTGGAACTGTGGGGATGTATGGATCAGCTACGAACATTCGAAGATTGCATGTGGAAGCAGATTCCATGGAGGTTCTGAAGCTGCTGCGGCAAGGAACGGATATGGATCGAATTTCTCCGATGGTGCGGCACGAAGTTTCGATGTTACAATGTGATTGGGTTCTTTATTTCAGTCATCTCCTTAGGGTGAGGCGATGCGCAGAATATGAGTGAAACATCAAACACGGGTAAAGAAAGCATGTAATATAAGATAGATTTCAAATAAAACCAGAGAGTAAGCAGACATAAATACAACACCACAATTATTTAATATCTGTTCTTCTACACGCAGACATAGCATAAGATTCTAGTTTCTGCTGCAATTAAACAAACGATTCATGCACAAGAATGCAAGGCAATCTTCTGCTGCAGTTCATCTTTCCTGGCACCCACAACCTTGTCAACTATGCTGCCTTCTTTAAGGAAGATAAAAGTGGGCATTGCCTCAATAGCCCAATCCTGGGCCACACTCTGCAATAATACAAACACCATGAGTCATTGGGAAAAAGGGTAAACTACACCATGAGTCATTAAACTTTACTCTATCTCATATGAAGATACTCATTTTTATCCATTTGTTTTTATGTATATTTTTATTATTAGTTTTATTTATTATAAATATTTTATTTATTTATTATTATTATTATTAATATAATAAATTTATATTACAGGCTCAAATTACAAACCCAACCCAGACCGGCCCAGTTACAAGAGCCCAACTCTAGCCAGCCCAATGGAAACCCTAAATTGATTAAGGTTTATATCATCTCAACCCTAGCTCCAGCCGCTGCCTCAAGCTTCCAGAAGCCACAACCGCTGCCTCAAGCTTCCAGAAGCCACAGTCGCCGCTCGTTGCCAACTGATCCACGCCGCCGCTGCCACGCCAATGCCCTCGTCGAAGCCTCCAGAAGGCCAGCTGCGTCTCCACATGTCGAGCTCTATGGTGAGTCACCACCATAGCTATGGTGAGTCACCTAGGGTCACCATTTGGGACCGGTCCGAAGAAGACACCGGCGGGCCTATAAAGGCCATTGACCGAACCTGCAACAAAGAACAACGAGGAAGAATCCGAGAGTACAACAACACGAACCAAAAACAAGCAAACATAACCACACAACAGCAAACCAAAAACTGAGAGAAAACAGAGTGAGAACGAGGGATTTACCACCGAGGAGAGCCCAATCGTCGCCGGAGATGTTGTTTCAACCGAGGTAAAAGCTTCGGTTTTCCTAGATCTACGAAAATTTAAGGGGATTTAGGGAAAACAGAGGCTGTATTCGGCCTTAGGAGGTCAAAATCTATGTTTTAGTGTAATTTGGGAGTTCCGACCACCGTAAGCGGTGGCCGGCGGTGGTGGTCAGTGCCGGATCCCGACTGTCGGCCGGTGGTCTCTCTCCATTTTAGAGAGAGGTGAGAGAGAAATCTCTCTCTCGATTTTAGAGAGAGAAGAGAAAAGAGGAAAATGAGAGGATGGCCCGAAGGGCCGGCTATAACAGGGTATATATACCCTCTCTTAAAGGACGTCGTTTAAGGGAGGGCCTTTGTGTAATTTCACGCACGACTAAACTATTCCTGCAGCCACTGTAATTTTAAAAACTTGCAATTTGATCCTTATAGCATGTTTTTATTTATTATAATTTGGTATTCGAATTTTAATTTATTATAATATAGTCCTTTGCCTAAAATATATATATTTTAGGCAAATAATCGATTTAGCCCTCATAATTTTATTAATTAATATTTTAATCCTGAAAGCATGTTTTAATTTATTTTAATTTGATATTCAAAATTTGATATAATTTTATTTTAGTCACTAAATTAATAAATAGGTAAAATAGCATGTTTAGATACTGTATTTTTAGATAATTAATTACGAATTAAGGTATTTGATTTTAATTTAGTCACTAATTTTAATACTTTCATTTATTTTACAAGTTTTATTACTTTTTATACTTTAATACTATAATTTTAATTTTATTTATTTTAGTCACTATTTATTTATATTTTAATTTAATTTATTATTTCAATATGTTTAATTCAATATTCTAATTATTATTTTATTATTATTTTAATTTATTCATATAAATATATATAATAAATAATATTTATTTATTTATTTATTTATTTATATCAAATAAAAATCCTATTTAATAATACATATTTGCTTTAATTTTATATAAATTACTTTTAGGAAAAATAATCATATTTTAAATATTTTTTTATTTTTTATATTAAGGAAATGATTGTCTTAAAGCAACTAGAAGTATTTTTATGATATTTCTAAATAACTAAATATTCTACTTTTATAAATTATATATATATATTAATTTAATTAATTTTAATTATTTTTAGAGAAATGTTTTATTAATATATTTTTTAATATCAAGAAAGGGGCTGTCTTAAAGCACCTAGAAGTCATTTTTAGATATTTCTAAGTAAATAAATATCCTATATATATATATATATAAATTAATAGATTTTCTTAAAATTATATTAATAAATTTGAAATAACATGATTATGAATTAAATATATTTTTGAATTTTTAAATTTCCAATAATAGAGACAATTTATAATTAATAAGTACCAACTTTGGGCGTTGTGGGGGTGTAATCCTTCCCCAAACGTAATTGACCACAAATCCTTTTTTATTATTAAAAAGAACAAATTTTTGGTTAAAAAGCAGACCAATTTTATCTTTTAAATTATGTTTTACTCAAAACTATTTTAAAGGATTGTTTTTAGGTATTCGACCTACCTGACCTAAAAGGCCGATGGCGACTCCCAAAACATTTTAAAACCATTTATTCACATCACTTTTCCCGCCAAGTACAAAATTCGTGCCCGGGCGAAAACCGATTACGACAGCTTGGCGACTCTGCTGGGGATACTGGTCAAACTTTAAAATCAATTATAAATTGTCTCTATTAATTCGAAATTAAAAATTCATATATTTAATTTATAATTCTTTCCTTTTAAAATTTTTATATATACTTATTATTTTCATAATATTTATATATATTATTTTTTATTAATATTTTTATTTTATTTTCAAGTATTAAATTTCATTATTTATTTATTTGTCTGAGGTTTGAACATTTCTCCTCACACACAACAGTTGCATTGCATAAACATAATCTTTATACTTGAGAGTTATCCCTTTTAAGTGGGAGTGAAAGCGACGTCTTCGTGAGAATTTATTCTCTGTGTCAGACCTAGCAAGTAGTTTTCGAGGTTCATATGCTCTATGTCTTCGTGAGAATTTAATCTCTGTGTCAGGCATAGAGAAATATGTCCCCTCGAATTGAACTCAATCCGCTTAAGTATGTGATGGACTAGGATTGAGGGTTGGCAACCCAAGGGGGCACTAACAAGGACAATTCGGGTACCTTTACTCTTAGAACTGAAACTCTGCATATAAATAAACCCTAGAAACTCTTCCGATCTAAAGCCATACCGAAATTTTGTCCAAAATAGGTGTACACGAAGGAGAAATGAATTCTAGCTTTTTTCTTTTAATTTATTTATTACCCTGCTAAATAAATTGCAAGTGAATTTAGATTATTTAAAGTATGTAGAAAGCATGTTTAAATAGAATTATTTGGATAGATATTAAATTAAATTTTTTCCTTATTATTT